GGGCTATTCATCGTCTTGGCTACGACAATGACGATGGCAACACCGAATGAAAATTCTTCAGATCCTTCTTGACGAGGCAATCCACATGGGGGCTGGATTTGGAAACCAGTCTATTCAAGAAAATGATGGTGCGACAGCGGCATCCTTGTGGCGGACCTGTGTCCTCGGACTCCGTCGTTGCGACGGCGTTTGCTCCAGCGTCGCGCGGAGCTTAGGAGGTAGTCCAGGAGTAGATGCAGATTGTGGTCTGCATCGGTGGCATGGATCGTGTGCTGGGTTTGTGGTTCGTGGAAGGCTCGTATGGTTTCCTCCTCCGACGTCTTAGTCGTGCAGGGGTGCCAAATCTGGAGTGTCCGGGGTGTTGCTCCGATCTGATTCGTTCAACGGCAATGGCTTTGTCTTTATTGGTGAGCCACCTTGGATGTGACGAGCTTTGATGTCAAGCTCAAAGGATTCTTCGGTCTTCTTGTTTGTATTTTTACTTCTTGGCTGATATTCTTATGTGTAAAGGCTAGCGTTCGACTGTCTTTTCAATTTTACCAGGTCGGTATGTACATGGTTTATACTATGATCCTTATGATATAAATGAGACAGTATTATCATGAAAAAAAATGCATGACACGAGAATAAGTTACTGCCCACTATGAATAGCCGTAGGAGTAACATGCATGCATTGCGCAGATGTCAACCCTCTAGAATGGCGTAGTAACATGCATGCATTGAGTAGTTTACATAGATGTCACATCTACGCATATTTCAGTGATGACTAGCACCTAGATCTGATCTGGGTGCCTATAAAGATGCATCCCGGCTCCTTCCATTCAGTACACCAGTAGCTACAGTTCTCTCGTGTTTCTTCTCAGGCTAGCTCAAGGTTTGCTTGCCGTGTCCACGGCGCAATGGCGTCAGGTGCAGGCCCTCTTACTCTGAAGCTGGCCGCCGTCGCTGCCGTTCTCGCCCTGCTGGTCATACCTTCCTTGGGACGCTGTCCTTCCCTTGGCCCGGCACCACCGCCACCAGCACAGGCGCCACCGCCACCACCGGAGGCCATACCACCACC